TATTTAAAGACTATTGTTATTATCCTATTATATTAAATGATCTTCATTTGTTTATTCACTCTTTTTAAAATCATTTTAAGACTATTATTTAGGTTTAGATCTGATTTTCATAACTTATATAGGACGTTTGAATAATGATCTCACATTTCCAGACTACTAATTTGTATTAGTTTTTGCAGTTAATCTTTCAGAAGTGGGATCTAAAATTGATGATACATTATCACTCATCATATTTGATTATTGAGGTTTAAGAGATACTTCAGACAAATTCCTATAAACGCTTTTCTTTGTTTTTGTTGATTCCAGTAATTCTTAAAATAAAGATTCTAATCTTAATTTAGAATCCATTAATGATTAATTTTCAAAATCTAATTTCTTAATTCTTCCTTTAAAATAAGATACTGATTCAAATGTTGATTTAAGTGAAGTTTAAGCAACCTTATGTGAATCTTTAAGCATTCCAAGTTCAGTTTATAATTCAATTATTTACTTTCTTAAACTTTCAATTTCAGTCTATTTACCCTTTCGATTTTATTAAGCAACCAAAAAGTCCAATTTTTCTTTAATTTCAGTCTTCTCTCTCTATAACAATCGATTCTATTCTTTGATTATACTCAACTCACTTTGTAAATAGATGATTTGTTCTCTGCTCATTGAATTTTACTTTATCAAGGCTTTTAACTATAGTAGAGAGTAGCACTCTATACCTCTTGATCTAATTTTTTCATTCTTTCTAATGCATCAATTAATTTTTTATCTTTTTCTATTTATTTATTATTTGCTTCTTTACATAATGTTTCTAATTATTTGATTTACATTAATAATTCCTTATTCTAATCATTTGTTTATTATAATTAATTTTAAATAATAGATTTTTCCCTATATATTTATAATATATTTACTTTTCATATTAAACTATTTTAATTTCATAATTATTCTTAATTTCTAATAGTTGATTATCTTTATCATTTAAAGATTTCTCAAATTAAATAGTTTATTCTTTTAATTTCTCTTCTAATTTAATGAAATTTTTTTATTATTAAACTATTTAATTATGTTCATTATTCACTTTATTTTTTAATTCTTAAATTAATTTATCTTTATCTATAATTTATTGATTTTATGATTTGATTTATTAATTTAATATATGTATCTCTTGCATTCCTTTTTCATTTAATTTCTTAAGATTATCATTTTCTAATAAGAGTTAATCTCTTTATTTGTTTATTGAATTTAAATCTACATCTTTTTTATTAACCTTTTCTTCTAATTATTATTACAATTTTTTAAGATTATTCATTTATTATTCATATTAAGTATCTTTATGTTAAAGATCATACTACAATTATTTGATGAGATCTCTTTATTATTCTAACTCAAGATTATGTTTGTTATTTAAATCTTAAATTTGAAGTTACAATTATTTTTTCTAATCTTCTGAATTAAGAAGTTCTCTTTTTAATGATTCATTCTCATTAGTCAATTAATTAGCATTCTAAAGTAATTTATCATTAATAGATCTTAAATCATTGTGATCTTATTGTAGATCACGAATAGTTTATTGTAATCCTGCTACTTTGCTTTCTTCATTTTATGGTTAAGCAGCCTTTAATTAATCATTAGCATCATCCAATTAAGACTTTAAAATAGATAACTCCTCTTACATTTATTTTAGTTATTGCTAATAAAAAAAGTAGTAAATGACAATTTTACCTTAAATTCAAGTTCTCTTGTCTTCCACTCAACTACATCACTCTAATTTTTCTCTATCAATTTCACATTTTAAGTTTCAAGCATCTTAATCTTCTCTTATAATTCAACAATCTACATTAATGAACAAAATTACATCTGCATTCTGATCAATTCTTTATTGTAAATTAGCAATTTTATCCTATAAGGTAAGGATTTGTTATTGTCTATTTTCTAATTCAGACTAAAGTGATTTAATTTTAATGTCTTTGTCAGTCATTAAATTTATAAATTAATGGGATATATGTAGTATTTATTTAAGGATGAATCTGAAGAACTTAATGCTATTAACATACAATTGAATAAATAAATTATATATAATAATTAATAATGGATAACAATAATGAGAATGATGAAAATCAAGAGCTTCTTAACGAAGAAGAAGATGATGACTTTCCTGAATATGCCAATGAAGCAAATAAGGAACTTAATGAAAAGGTATTTATATAGGTATTTTCAATTTTAGATCAAATTAAAAAGAACCATCATTCGAGATATCAACTCTAAGATTGAAGAAAAGAGTGATAAATTGAAAGTACTATCAGAACATTTAAAGAATATCTAATAAGAATTACTTCATACATAAGCTTTGGTATCTATTCAATAATACTTAAGATCGACACAAAAAACAAAGAAATTGAAACTGAAGACCATTTAAAATAAATAACAGAAAGATAAATTGGTCGTCTTCAAAATGAAATGACTAAATAATAAAAGATGTATAATATTCATACCTTATTTTAGAATGATCGAGTAATAAGAAAGATTGAATGATGTCTAAAATTCAATATATAGAGGAAATGAGAGATTGGATAAATATAAGATTGAAATGAATTGGAATTAAGAAGAATTGGAATAATGGGTTTTAGCTGCAAGATAAAAGGAAGAAGACTCTTTAACAATGGAAAAATATAAAAGAGGAGATGAAGCCAAAATTAAAGAACTTAATCTATAAATTGAAAAATTGACAGTTGAAGTTAGTAAGAGATAAAATGAATTGGATAAAGAAATTACAGAAACTTAAACTGCTTAAATTGAATTAGATAAAACAGCTGAAGAATTTAGAAGATAACATGATGAACGTCATAAATTATTTTAATAATGGTAAGAAGTAACAGATAATATTGCAAGAAGAGATTAAGCTATTAGAGATGAATCAGAGAGATATGCTGATATTAAAGCTTAAATTAAAGCAAATTAATAAGATTTAGAAAATAGAAAATCTTAATTAATGAATGAAAAATAAGAAAATAAATCAATTGAAGTTCAAAATTAATAATTAGAGAGAACCATTATTTAATAGAGATAATCAAATAAAGATATTGAATTAGCTATAGATAATCTTAAGGCAGATGTAGAAATTTAAAAGAATTAATTATCTGCATTTGCAACTGATTTATCTAATAAAAGAAATAGATTAGCATAAATGTCATAAGAACTTTTGATTAAAAAATAAAGATTGAATAATGCTTAAAAGAAATATGCTAGTGAAAAGTAGAAATTGAAATTAGAAGATATTTAACACTAAGAATTTGAAAAGTAAAGGAGTCTGGCATCAGATAGATATAAAACCTTAGAAAAACAAAGAATTGATTTGGATAAAGAAATTAAATTATAAAAAGAAGTTTTATTCAAAGCTACTTAAGATTTATTTAAATTAAGAGAAAATGAAGCTAATTTATATGGAGAAATATAAGCAAATGTGAGTGCTTGTCGTAATTATTAAGCTCATATCAATAAATTGATTTAAGAATTTTAAAGATAATAAGAATTATTATATAATGCAGAATATTAAATATAATTGATGGAAAGAAGAGTTGCAAGAGCCAAAGGAGAACGTACTTTGGAAGAGAAAAAAGATTTAGAAAATGAGATTAAAGAAATTGAAGAGAAAGTCAATTTATAAAAAAAGGAATTCAAAACTTTATTGTTGAGTTTAAAAAGACTTGATGATGATTTAAGAGGAACAGATAGACAATTAACAGGTACTAAAGCATCATAAACTAAATTGAAATAAGCTATAGATGAGTTAACATTAGAGAATGATATGACTTATTAGGATTTAAGTAAAATTGTAAAATCAAAAGAAGAAGTTTTGGTTTAACATGATTTTATGAAATTAGAAATATAAAAAATTTAAAAAGTAGTAACTACTGCTGTTGATAAAGTGTTTAATTTAGAAAATCGTAAATATCAATTAGAAATGGCTATGTAAGAAAGAGAATAAGAAATTTAAGTGCATAAAGATGTATTAGTGGCTGAACATAAGGCAGCTGAAGAGGAAAGACATAAAATTGCTGTTGAATTGGCTGAAAGATAAAATAGAGTAAAGAATCTCAGAATCAAATATGAATCCTTAGTTTAAAAGAATAAGTCCTCAAATGGAGAGTAAGACACTTAAAATATTGAGGAACATTCATAAGCATATTACATAATTAAAGCTTCTTAAGAAAGAGAAGAATTGTAGAGGAAAGGAGATGAATTGAATGCTGAAATTATTAAGAGAGATTAAGAATTAAAGGCTTTAGATAATACATTATCTCATCTTAAGAATAGAAATAGTAAGTATAGAGATAGTTTCTTAAATAAGGGTATTTCTTAGAAAGAAGTATCTCATAGAGATGGATTGGAAGAGTAATGTAGAGCAGCATCTGAGAATTTATTTAAAAAGAAGAAAGAATTATAACGATTATAATAAGAAATAGATGAAGATATGAGAAGATTGACAGAAATATAAAATAGAGTATTGATAATTTTTAATATTTATTTTAGATTGAGATTTTAGATAATCAAGAGAGGGAAGTAGAAATGTAATTCTAAAAGTTGGAGAGGGAATTGTAAGATTAGTAAGAAAAGATTAATAGAGCTGAGAATATAATGAATTCTAAATTGGCAAAAGTATAATAAAAGAGAATTGTACTTGATGAATCAAATGCACATATTTCTGCTTTAGAATTAGATATTCAGAATAATTTAAATAAGACATTAAAGACATGCATTTTGTAATATTTGATATTCTATTAATATTTTTTAGTAATTTAGTCTAAGAATTCCCTGAAATGTAAGCTATTGTAGATGCAGTCTTTTAAGAGAAAAATGTAACTGTTCCTAGTAAATAACCATCTTCTGTAGGAGTTCCTTCTGTTAGATCATCTGTGCGTTCAGCTTCTTCTCAGGGCAGAAGATGATTATGATGATATTAATAAGTAATTAAACAAAAAATGTACCTCAAAAGTATAACTCGTTAAGAAATGCTATCTAAAATTGACTCTCTCAAATACCAACTTGAATATGAGAGGTAGTATCAAGAGAAGGAATTAAAGTAAATTAAATTGGATGACTAAAAAGAAGTAAAAATGTTCACATTCTATAGATTGCAGTAATGTAGGATGAACTCAAAAGATTATAAGAAATGGTTGCAAATGTTTAATTCTAAGAGTATTTCAAAATGAAGAGAGATAATAAGATATTAAATCAGGAAAATACTATTTTGCGTGATATGTTGAGAGCTAGTTAAATTACAGGTTCAACAAAAGAAATGGAACTTGAAAGATTAAAATAGAAATTATATAGATATGATAGTCATTCATTATAAATCAAAAAGGAGAGTCATGTAGTATAGACTTAATAATATATAGTTTAAAACTAGAGATGTTAGAAATTTATCACATCATAGAAATTAAACCTAACCTTCATTAATGGATTCAACAGCAGAAACTTCATCCAAGATGTTACCAATCAAATTTAAGATTAATTAATGATATAACTTAATATTCATCTCTAAGAATTTATTCTTACTTTCTATATTCTTTGAATTTCTTTTAATCTCAATTATTTGAATATCTAAAATTAATCTAATTCAATTACATCCTATTTTTATTGTAAATTAGTACAATCTATTTCTGGAGATAATGACTTTGAATTTTAAATAATAAGTTTTTATTTAATAAAGTTTTCTACTTTCTATTCTAAACAACCTTAAGAATTTTCTAATTATGAAGTACGTTGAGTTAAAGGTTTCTTGTAATTTGAATCAAAATTTTATTGTGAATTACTATTACTAGTATTCAATTGAATTGTTTATTTATTAGTAAGATTGAAAAAGAAAGACTATTGTGAATTTCTTCTAGAAGTATTTGGATGATTAATTTATAGTCTATAATGATGTATAGATTCCTCTTTAGGTTTCTTAGAAGATATAATAAATTGATCATCTGATCTTAATTGTTTTAATAATTTTTTGTAAATCTTCTAACAGTCTTCTTCTGTTTATGCTGACAATCTCTTTTTTTATAGTAACATTTATTTTTAATCATTTAAATTAGTCATAGCTCTTTATCTCAATCTTGAGTTACTTGATTCTTGAACATTACTAGTTGATTCAATCTTATCAAGTGATTTAACTTCATGGAGTCTCACTATATCTTCAATAGTTGAGAAAGCTTTAAATTCTTAGAGTAGAGAAGGTTTTTGATTGTCTTAATTGAGAAGATGAAATATCTTTTATCCAGCTACTTCAACATATAATTTGGGCTAATTGTTTTATTATTAAGTCTCCTCTTTTAATTTACATAATTCTTACGTCAATCTCTATGTATTAAACTTTGAAAATTCAAACTTTTACATAGTAATCTTATCTCTTTCTGAAGTTTAAACTCTTAAATCAATAGGATTATTATTTTTCAATTGAAAACTTTTGTCTTGTTTTTTGGCAACATCAATAGTAAAACCAGAACCTAAATCAAACTTAGCCTCAGCAGCTCCGTTATACCAACCATTTATTGCTCCAGAGAGTAATTTATTTGTCTTCATGATTCTGTGATCAGAAGGACCATCATATTATCTAGTACTATCAATTTTACAGAGTCTTCGCATTCCAAATTGTAAAGCTGTCTTTCTATCTACATTCTAAGTTTTGGAAGAATGAAGTAAATTACATTCTCCTTCAAAAAGAGGAAATGTATTGCTCTATCAACTGGAGCTGGATCAGATGGTCTATCTTTGAACTTAGAACATTAACCAAAAAAAGCTACCTTTTCTTATATAAAATAATAATTACTTCTTCTTTTGCTGCAATTTTCAATGCATCTTCATAATTCATTCTTTTTCTAGTAAGAGTTTTTTTCTTCATTAAAAATAAAATGAGTTCAGACACTGAATCTCCAATATTCAAAAGAAGAGAATCTAGAAGAGATTCTACTCTTTCTTAAATAACTGGAGCAAGTGGGGCTAACCACAATCTATAGGTTCTTAATGATCGTAAAGTCCTCTTACTCTATGCTTCAGGAGCAACTGCAGCAGAAGGAGAACTTAATGAATCTCATATGACTGTTGTTAAAGGAAGATTAGAATAAAGAATGAAACATATATCCTTTCTTTGTGATCTTGAATACACATAAGTACTTGTTTAAAACATATAATAGTATCATAATCAAGATGGTTGTCTAACGACACCCGTTTCTGAATATGGCAGAAGAACAGTTTATAAAGTGATGGAGCTTGATTAAATTAACAACTCAAGATAAACTGTAAATTTATGTTATCTATCTTTAGTCTTATGCAGATATTAGACACATAGCTGAAATAATAAAGGAAAATTATGACAAATATGGCGCATTTGTAATTCTTAGTGGAATTGCAACAATAACTTATCTTGGTACCAATTTGTCTTTTATGCTTGAAAATCTATAAAAAACAGTAGTAATCACAGGTTCTTTGATTCCATTGTCCTTTATGCGTAATGATGCCTTTCAAAATATTCTTGATTCATTGATCTTAGCTGGACACTTTCTTATCCCAGAAGTGCTTATAGTTATGGATCATAAAGCTTATAGAGCCAATAGATGTAGATAATTGAAATGTGATTCACTTGATTGTGTAGAAAGTCCAAATTTTCCTAATCTAGTTGAATTTGGTATCAATATTGACATCAAATGGCATCTAGTCTTACGTAGAGGAGAATAAATGTTTAGTAATGATGATAACACTCTTGAGTTATCACCTCAATTTATAACAGATGTCATAATAGTAAAGATAACTCCATTTACTAGTGTTGAACATATAAAACATATGTTCAATACACCCAATTTAAGATGCTGCATTTTAGAATGCTATCATTTTGGTGAAATGCCTCATAGTTAAGAATTCTACAATGCCTTATTGCATGCTCAATCCTAAAAGGGAATTATCTTAATTTAAATATCTTAATGTATCAAAGGATAGCCTATCAAGAATTTTAAAAAGATTATGAATGGTATCATAGTTTAATATGATATCACTCCTGAGAGTGCTTTAGCAAAGATTGGATATCTTCTTGGAAAAGGATATACAAATTAAGAAATCATTGAGAAATTTCCTTAAAATTTATAGGGTGAAACTGAATCAGTGAGACAATTTGAGAAGTTTGAAGGTTAAAAATAACATTTCATTTAAACCATACTAGAAACTCTATAGAAGACTTCAGGAGATGAATAGATTAGTCAAAATATGGATATTATGAATAAATATATAATACCAAATTTAGGTTGTTTTTTAGCTACAACTGGATAATTAGATTTAATTAAAGATCTAAGAAAAAATGAAGGAAATCTTAACATTCCAGATTTTGATGGCAGAACTATTTTACATTTAGCTGCTGCTTCAAAATAAATAGAAATCATTAAATACTTAATTGAGGAAGTTCATGTTAATATCAATCCTATAGATTATCTAGGGTATTCCCCTATGTATGATATTCTCATATCAAGAGATAAAGAATTGATTCTCTTCTTTTAACAAAATGGAGGAGTCATTGAAGCACCTCATCAGGTAATGGTTGATCTTATACTTACTGCTGGATTAAAAGGAGATATAGAAATGTTAGAACTTATATTTCATGGAGGAATTAAGAATCTTAATGACTTTGTGAATGTTGATAACAGAAATATAGGCCATATGGCTGTTATGGTAATGAATTCAAAAATTATCCGATTTTTGAGATTTACTGCCAAATTTAATTTTAGCGAAAGAGATCGATGGGGTAACACACCCTACGAAAACGCTATTGAAATTAAAAGTAAAAAAATAAAAGTTCAAAAACTCAATGATGTAGCAATTGAAGAAATCATCGAAATGTTACAATCTATTGGGAATGATTGAATGAATGAAAATTACATATGTTTAAACAATATTCAAGACAATAAATATTTTTTTAATATATATATATATATAAAAAATTTTAAGAAAATTCTAATTCCTTCTAATTTTTTGTAATCAAATATTAATCATTTTATTATCCTTCTTTTGAACTTTCTCAAATGAAATATTTCTTTTTAATTTTAGTTCACATCTCTATATTAATTAAACACAGCTAAAAATAAGTTTCTTAAACAGATATTTCAAGTAGAATCGTAAGTTTTTATTCTTAATAATTAATAAAAATACATCTCTTAATATGAGAACTCTACAATTATACAATCCAAATACTTCAATACGAAATCTTGATAGCTTAAAAAAAAGTAAAACTTTTACAAATTACACTACAAATTCTGAAACTATAGAAGAATTTTAAAACAGGCAGAGAGATTATGATAAATTATAGAAATATCCCTATCATACTAAATAAACCCCTAAAACTCTCAAAAAATACTATTTTTCTAGTGCTGTTAATGAAGTTAAAGAGTAGTTTTTTCAAACAAGGGCAAATTAAAAATTTGATTTCTTTTTCACAGACCATAGAGTAGAATAATAAAAAAGATCAATTCAAACAATAGCTGATATTCTTAGGAAGTAGAAAAAGGTTGTATAGGATAAAAAAGTTACATAAGAATAAAAATAGACTTAATTCAACCTTTTATTAATCATAATGATAATTCTTCCAATATTATGTATATTAACTGTTTTGGTTGAATTAGAATGAATTATGCATATAAAGTGTCGTATATCTATAATTATTATTTTTGATAAATTTTAATAATATATAAATATTAATATATATAAAAATCAAAATTAGTAATAGGAATTAGAAGAATCTAATAAATAATATATATATTTAAAGTTAATACAATTCCAGTTATCTTAACAAATATGAATGCTTCATTAACTCACCAATTTAATTTTGGATTATGTTTNGTTGATCTTATACTTACTGCTGGATTAAAAGGAGATATAGAAATGTTAGAACTTATATTTCATGGAGGAATTAAGAATCTTAATGACTTTGTGAATGTTGATAACAGAAATATAGGCCATATGGCTGTTATGGTAATGAATTCAAAAATTATCCGATTTTTGAGATTTACTGCCAAATTTAATTTTAGCGAAAGAGATCGATGGGGTAACACACCCTACGAAAACGCTATTGAAATTAAAAGTAAAAAAATAAAAGTTCAAAAACTCAATGATGTAGCAATTGAAGAAATCATCGAAATGTTACAATCTATTGGGAATGATTGAATGAATGAAAATTACATATGTTTAAACAATATTCAAGACAATAAATATTTTTTTAATATATATATATATATAAAAAATTTTAAGAAAATTCTAATTCCTTCTAATTTTTTGTAATCAAATATTAATCATTTTATTATCCTTCTTTTGAACTTTCTCAAATGAAATATTTCTTTTTAATTTTAGTTCACATCTCTATATTAATTAAACACAGCTAAAAATAAGTTTCTTAAACAGATATTTCAAGTAGAATCGTAAGTTTTTATTCTTAATAATTAATAAAAATACATCTCTTAATATGAGAACTCTACAATTATACAATCCAAATACTTCAATACGAAATCTTGATAGCTTAAAAAAAAGTAAAACTTTTACAAATTACACTACAAATTCTGAAACTATAGAAGAATTTTAAAACAGGCAGAGAGATTATGATAAATTATAGAAATATCCCTATCATACTAAATAAACCCCTAAAACTCTCAAAAAATACTATTTTTCTAGTGCTGTTAATGAAGTTAAAGAGTAGTTTTTTCAAACAAGGGCAAATTAAAAATTTGATTTCTTTTTCACAGACCATAGAGTAGAATAATAAAAAAGATCAATTCAAACAATAGCTGATATTCTTAGGAAGTAGAAAAAGGTTGTATAGGATAAAAAAGTTACATAAGAATAAAAATAGACTTAATTCAACCTTTTATTAATCATAATGATAATTCTTCCAATATTATGTATATTAACTGTTTTGGTTGAATTAGAATGAATTATGCATATAAAGTGTCGTATATCTATAATTATTATTTTTGATAAATTTTAATAATATATAAATATTAATATATATAAAAATCAAAATTAGTAATAGGAATTAGAAGAATCTAATAAATAATATATATATTTAAAGTTAATACAATTCCAGTTATCTTAACAAATATGAATGCTTCATTAACTCACCAATTTAATTTTGGATTATGTTTATATTGATATAAAATTTTAAATATTATAATAATTAACACCTAAAATTTAGTAAATACTTATTTTTTTCTTCTTGTCTAAAATTAATCAATAAATTTAATTGAAAAATTTGTTCTTAAATTTAAAAATAATAATAATCATATTTGAGCAATTTTTAATAAAAACCTTAAGTTTTAATTAAATTTAGAATATTAATTAATTATTTATTCTCAAATTTCATTTAAAAAATATCATCCCGAAGACTTGAACTCGGATCTTTACCTTATGGGAGTAATGCTCTACCGCTAAGCTAGATGATATTTCTATTCAGGCCCATAATTTGCAAATATAAATTTAGTATTTTTTTTTAATTATTATTAAAGAAATATACACAAATCATTTCCTATTTTATAGAGACATGCCTTTATTATTTTTAATTCTCATTTCAGATTAAAAGGTGGCTATGTATCTATTGTAAGTGACTTCATCTATGATGACATCATATTCTATTATTGTAGGATCTCCTTTCTTTATAGGAGGTATTTACATTTCATTCTTAACTCCTGAAATATTACCATTATCATATAACCATCTAAGTCTTTCAAAATGTTAATCTATATTATATCTTAATCTGTATAATTTCTTATTCATAATTTGATTAGATTTTTCCTCTATTACTTAAAGCAACTTTTTTATATTAATATTCATCAATGCACTTATAGGTACTATAGGATAATCCTAAGATTCAATAAAATCATAATCTATAGAGTATTTCAACATATCAATTTTATTCCACACTTCAACCTATATTAATATTTAGTATTACCATTTTTTTATTGAAGAAATCTTAGTTATATCCTAAATCTTTAAGGATATTTATGACAACCTACTTTTGTTACTCAGTGTATGGATGTGAGATATCTCTAATATGTAACACTATATCAGCATTCTCTATTCCTTCTAGAGTAGACTTAAATGATTCTACTAAATCATTTGGTAGATCTGTAATGAATCCAATAGTATCTAGTATTATTGCTTTCTATCCTGAGGCTAATCTTACAGATTTTGAATTAGTATCAAATATTTAAGAGACTTAATCTCTACTCTAAGGCACATCTTTATGTAATATACAGTTTAATAACTAAGACTTACCAGCATTGATAAATCCAATTAATGCAATTGTGGGTACATTATGATTTGACTTCCTACGTTTAATAGTTACTCTTTCTTCTTCAATACATTATTTGACTTTTGCAATTTTATTATCTATGAGTTTACTTTATAATTAAAGTTCGTTTTCTCTTGATCCTTTCACTTTATCTTCATTACTTTTTAGCTAATCAGACATAATTTCAACATAAATTTCATTAGCTGTTATTAGATGTTCTTTAAAGATTGAAGAAAGTGATAAAAGGATATTACCACTTGTTTCTAATTTTGTTTTTGCAAATTTGAGAAATGATAGTTCAATTAACAATCTAGAATAGCTTTATGTACATCTTTTAGCTAATATTTATAAAATCATAGTAAATCTATCATATACCTTAACAGGAAGAGTTTCAGAATTATATTTCTAATTATAATTATTTTCATCAAAATTATTGATTTCTTCATTAATAGTAGATGTTATTTAACCTTTTGAATATTAAGTCCATAATATTTCTAAATTTCTAGTCTATAATTGTGTTAATTCATGATTTATGAACACAGCATTAATCTATTTTTATTGTATATGTTATCCTAACATTGCAATTTTACTTTTGCTGAAGAATGTAGTAGAATGAATACTAGGTAATTTGACAAGAGATGATTTAGCAATTGAGTTTCGAATAATTAAATCTTTCCATTCATGACTTAAATCATTTTCATTTTATTGGAAATCTTATAGTTTACTTTACTATTGTGATTGATTATCTTCATTTTCATTAATTTTTTCTTGACTATTTTTTATATCTTTAGTGTAATCATTTTACCAAAATGGTGCTTATTAAAGAGTCCAATTTAATTATTTTGACAAACCTATAGCTTCTTCAGCCATATATATTTCTAATTCAGGACCTTTGTTTTATTAACCAATTGGATGTAAGACCATACAATTAACAGTTTATTAAGTAAGTTGTTATTTGGTGGAGATTGGTTTGGCAAAATCAAGAATTTCTTTGGAATATCTATACTTGACGATAGCGTTACTTAATCTCTTGATTAGCATATATAAATTAATGAACAAATTAGCATTTCCCACTGATAATGAGAATAATGAGTTTTTTGATGAGGATGCCATTTCAAAATCTACAATTTAAGCTGTCAATAATTCATTTGACAAAGAACAATTAGATGAATAAATTGAAAGACCATTTACACCTGTAGATACTTAGATAGATATGATTCCTAAAGAACAATGTCCTCATTGTAAAAGATAATTCTTTCAGGGTCGTCTGACATTACATTTACGTAGTTGTACAACTGAACATCCATTTGTTAAGAAATCCAAAAATTAAAAAACTTAAACTTTGTAAATAAAACCAGCCTTATTACCATGTCCAAATTGTCATAAGAAATATAGAAATCTAAAGACACATATATGTTAAACTAGAACAAAAGCACTAGATAAATATAAAGTGGTAGCATAGATTAATGAAGAAGAAGAAGCAGATGAAACTTTAATTTAAGAACTATCTTCAAGTCAACCATCATTTCTACCAAAAATAAAACAAAGAGTTGAAAACATATTATCACGTTCAGTACCTATAGTTAAGTGTCCATCATGTTAGAAGACATTTGAACAAAAAGCATATGAAAAGCATATTAATCTTTGTATACGTATGAATAGTGGAAATAAATTTCAACGTAGTATCTTTTGCACAAATTGTGGAAATAAATTTGCTAATAATCATAAATATTGTGGTTCATGTGGTAAAAAAAGACTATGATAATTATATAATGACAATTTGTTTTTATTCTCACAACTTAGCCTTCTATTTTAATCTTTTATCAACAAAATCAGGAAATATAGGTCTAACATAAACACTTAAATAAGCTTTAAATGGAAAGAATATCTAATATTAATTCTTATATACTTTACGAGCCCTTCTATCTGCTGCATCTAAAATCATTGAAACACATTCTTATATAGTAATTCTATCCTCACTTTCATCTTTAGGAGAATGTTTCTTTAATAAATCATGATCTCTCATTGGAGTTCGTACACTAGGAGGACATACTATAGTTATGGCAACATTAAAATCTTCCAATTCTGTTCTAAGTGCTTCAAAAAAGCCTGTTACAGCAAACTTAGAACTACAATAAGGTACTCTATATGGTAATCCAATCTCTCCTGAAATTGAAGACATTACAACAAACTATCCTGAACTCTTTCTTATATATGGTAATGCATATCTAAATTAATTTCAATTATATTTACTTAGTACAATATACATATCCATAAAAATTGACATCCATTATTTTCTTGAATACAGTTAAATCTTTGAATTCTTCAAAAAATGAATGTGCATTCACTCCTGCATTCAATACTAAAATATCAATTCTATTGAATATTTTCACTGTCTCTTCTATCAACTATCTCTCATTCTTTAATTATTCTATACTTGCAATCTTCTTCTTTAGATACATCTGTTATCTTATAATGAGCTTTTGATCCCAGTTATTCACATAATGTACAAACTTCTTTTAATTCTTCTTCAGATCTTGCACCCAACATCATTCTAAATCAATTTACTATTTTTTATACTTGACTCCTCTAGTTGCATATTGTAATGCTAATTCACGTCCAATTCCACTTGAAGCTCCTGTGATTACAATTACAGAGTTTGCTATTTAATTATTAAATCATTTACGTTTAAACTATTTAGTCTTAGTCAATTTCAATATTTGTTATTGATTGCCCATTTAATTTATAATTAATATATAACTTTTTTTAATACTTTATAAATATAATTAATTATTTTATTGATTATATTAAATAATTTAATGGTGATTATGATTATCATTTTATATGGATAATTAAATATTTAATTGTTAAATAAAAAAGATTAATAAATTATATAATACAATTATATATTCTATGGTTTATTAATCTTACCTATTAATTTTAGATAAATAGTTTCTTTATTAATAATTATATATATAAACTCTCTTCATTCATTTTTAATTTTGATAAAGTTATTTATATTTAATAATATCAAATAATTCCCCCCATATTAAAATTGAAATTAAATCAATATAATTAAAAAGAATTTGGAATTAGGTATTTTTTTTTTTTGAATATAAATTTATAAAATCAATAAAATGTTTTTTGGGGTAATGCTACAAAATCAAAAAACTATGACATAATAATTACTTAAATAATCTTCTATTATTATAAAGGTTGAAGAAATTTGATATTATTAACTGATTATTTATATCTTATGTTCAATTTAATTATTATGATGAGGTATGAGTAATTGATTATTAATAATAATAATCTCAGTGAAATGAAACAGAAAATGATTCTGAATCTTGTGATTATTATACAAATGGCTGAGAATACTTTGTTCATAATTGACTGCATTTACTCGATAATTTATTAACATTACGAAGTAGTTCAATTATAATATGAAAGTATGTTGCCATGGGAACCTTATGTGTATTAATGATCATATTTTTGCTTTTCTTGTTAGGAAATACTAAAAGTAATATTTGTGATTGTTAAATGTAGTGACTATATTTAACAATGAGAATCTAATTGCTTAAAAAAAATGTATAAATTGTGAAAGTGTAGTCAATGATTTCAAATGCAAAAACTGTAAAATTTGTATGAATTGTAATGGTAAATTTCACTCAATTTACTTGAATAAATGTTTAGATAAAAATTAGTTATAGTATTGAATACTAAATAATAAAAAGATATATTTTCAAGAACATATCGTTACTGATACTTAAATGTTTATTGTGTATGTTTGTAAGAACATTTGCCATAATTTCATATTTGAGAGATGATACAAATCTATTTTTTGTAATGAATTTTCAATATAAGGTGTTCTATATAAGTTTATCTGGTGGTATATTATTAGATTTAAATGTTTCTATATTTCTAATAGTAATTCACCTATAATTATCAAAAGAATAATAGAAAATTTCAAATTTTGATAAAAAAAGTGAAGATGCAACTGATATTAAAGTTCAATCAATAATAATGAGTAATGGTAGTCCTAAATTGAATAAGTAAATGAAAATATTAGAATTTTTGGAAAAGAAATTAAGTCATAGAAATAATTTTGTTAATAGAAGAAAAATGTATGAAACTGAACCTATGCCTATGATGTTTGAAGAAAATGAAGAAAATGTAGTTCAATCTTAAATGTAATAGCTAAATAGATTTGTACCATTGACATTGAGTAATATAATTAAATAATAATGAGTTCATATCGTAAAAATTGCTCTAAATCAGAAATCTCTGTTAATGACACTTCCAACAATAATATTGTTCCAGTATTACAACAAATCAATTCCCTAAATTCTTAACCTATCATGTAAGTTCGAAGACCTAGTGATATCAATAGTTCTCTTACACCTTTCGACTCTCCACATAGTATTAGAACTTCCATTAAATTAGAATAGGCACTCATAATATGTAGAAATCACCACTTTGTACATCAGTAGCATTAGATGGTAGAGCAACACCATTAAATCTTATTAATGAAGAATCAAGTGTGAATGAATAATCAGATAATAAAGTGTTTGAGAGTTTAATAAAATAGAAACCACCTTAAAATATTCTTATAAGAGAACCAGTTCATTGGAGTTAGATATTTACATATCCAGGTACATTAAAAGAAGATGATTTATTTAATAAGTTTGGATTATATTTGGGAGATAATACTCATAAACAAGAAAACATTATATAAGATATCTAAGTAAATGTTAAACCAATAATAATTATTGTTCAAGTAATCTTATACTTCTATTATTTATATTCATTTCCACTTCTTTTATATGGGATAGCTTATTCTGATTATGAATTAACATATCAGTTACATACATAACTTCCATTATTATTTTTAAACTTCATATTATTTAGTTTAAACACTTAAAAAACAGCTTAGTTAATTGATTACCTACCATTGACTACTATTATTCCTTTTATTTGCGCCTTAATCGATATAAAGTATTCTTATCTATCATCTTAGTCAACAAATTATTTTCATGCAAATCTTACATATTGTTACATTCATTAAGTTCTATTAAATATTCAAACAACTACTAAAAATATCTATATGTTTAAGAATTTACTCAATATATTTCTTTACTATAAGATTATCATAAATTCATTTCTTTTAAATAATATGTGGATTTCTTATTGTAATTACTCAAATCAATTTATAATAATTAAAATTAGATGAATTTTATTAAAATTAATGTAGTTTAATCAATATTCTACTTATAACAAATAACCAATCTTTTATTATATATCCAATCAAAATTATGGTTATCATTTTCATTATCTATTAATTCACTATTATTAGTGATTACATTAATTATTTATATAGAAATTAAACTACTTTGATTTAAGGATTAATAGAACTATCTAAAATTATCCATTAATTACCATTTGATCTTAAATATGAATGTTTATCAATATCTAATAAATAAATTTTATCAAGATTGGAAACAAGAAATCTTATAGATTATGATAAACTTCCAAATCAATTATCAAATAAATTATTGAATGCATAATATTCTAATCTATTAAATAATATACCATTATTAGAATAGTGTTTAAGTTAATCATCAATCTCAAATATTTTAATGAATGCCACAAAAGAAAGAATATTAGAACCTAATGAAATTCTTATTGAAGCAAAACAACAAAATAAATATTTATATTTTATTTTATCTGGAAAAGTCAAATGTTATTAACAAAGAGAAAACACATAATTCTCAATATCTATTAATGAAAATGGAATATATAATTAATAAGGTTTCTTTCTAGGATAATAATCTGAATTTGGTGTTTAATGTATAACTTGTTGTAAGATATTGGAAATCAATTCAGAATTATTTTGGAAAGAGGTCAAAAAAAGTATCACTGAACTTGAAAAAATTAAAATGTGTTTAGATAGAGTTTAATTCAATTAGGAATTTTAATTAATTGCTCTTTCTTGTTAAATTTGCAAAGGAAATCATCTAATTAACAATTGCAAGAAAGTTCATTATGTCCCTTCTAGATAAATATTAATGGATTTTATTTATTTTGATGAGATCAACAAAAGAATAAAGTTTTAAAGAGTAAATCATTTTATTAAATATAGAATAATCATACAAGAAAGTTTAGATGTATGAAAAATACCAACATGATAGAATAAATTGTTTGTAATGTTAGACATCTAATGTTAATTTCTTCTGAAACTTTCAAACCCCCAAAGACTATAACTAGTTTAGGAATATAATCTGAATAATAACATACTGAACATTCTGATGAAGATGAACACAATAAAATGTCTTAATATGTACAAAATTTGAGTCCTGTCTAATATGTACCTTAAGTGGGTAGTAGTGCTAGTTCTTATGTCTTAAAAGAAGTAAAATAAGCATAACAATTAAAATCACCTAAAGATAGTGTTATGGTGCATTAAAAAAGATATCAAGAAAAGAGATAATCTCATGTTACCAAAACAGAAAGAGGTATATAATTTTATTATTTTAGATTTAAGTCCATCAATAATAAAATATGCTACAATTTAAGATAAAAAGAGTTAAAAATCAAGATCAATAATAAGTGAAGATCATGGTAATGGGATATTGCCAGGATCAGATCATAGATAATTTTCTAAATATGGCATATAATCATCTAAATTTACTAATGAAACAGCAAAACAGTTTTTGAGTAACCCATTCGATATGCCATTATATGATCTAAATTAATCAATAGATAAAAATCATAGCTATAGTGAGTATTATCCTAGAAATAATATAGACTTGGTATTTACTTATACTATTATAAGGCTATTCTCTCTTATAAATAATATCAAGATAGTATAATATCAAATAAGAGTAACTAAAAAACTTGATAGTAAATTATTATTTTTATTAAAAGAATATACATTTTTAATTATTATCATTTAAATTAACCGTCAAAAAGTATTTTAATAAGAATTTTTAGTAAAATTCATATATTCATGTGTTTTTGTGTTTTTATTTATAATTAATTCAATTTTATAATATATCAATATTATAAATATTTATCAATTGAAAGGCTTATTTGAATACATTGTTTTAATTTATAAAGAGATATGTAGAGATGGAACAAAAAGAATATTTTTATCTCTATTTTATGATATTATTGGTTAATTATGGGTAAGTATGTGAAAAGATACTTTACAATTTATTAATTAAAATTAAATTGAGTATCATAAATTTAATAATTATTAATTTGAGAGATTATATTTAATACTCTATTTCTTTGCATGAGACATTTTTTCCTTTAATAAATAATTAGCATCTATCATACTTATTGATATCATAAATGATTGTATAATTGAATCAAAATTTGGTTACAAATTCTAAAATTGAAAATATATGAAATTCTATGTTTCTTTACTTGAATAATTTAATTTCTTAAGATTTTAATTATTTTCCAAAGAAATTAAATGGTTATGTTTAATTTGATTAAATCAATTGAGATTTCAGAATTTATTTTTAAAATTGTAGTAAATAATATTGTATATTTAATCTTAATATCATACATAATCATTAGAATATGAAATTAATATTAAGTTTGAATTTAAATTGAATTTAATTACTTCAATGTAATTCAGATTGTTTACAAAATTTATATATATATTTATATAAATAGAACATTCTAAGTTACAAAAATGAACCTTAAGAATAAGAATTAATTAGATTTTTAAAGGTATGGGAATAATTTCTTTTTCTTTTGTTGTATATTAAATATTGAAAACTTTTTAAATAAAACATATCTATTTATAATATGTTCGCATTTTATTCAGATTTAATTGATAAAAGTTATTGTCCATTTCCTAAACTAAACCCATAGTAAAGCTATCTAAATGATGTATATATGAATAAAGAAAACATAAAGCAATACAAAAGTATAAATGATTAATTGATAAATAGTTCCATCTAAGAAATACAATGTCATAACAGATGAATAAAGAAACTTATTAATCAAGATGATAACTGAGGATGGAATATCTATCAAAAATGCTTCTGAAAAGTGTTCTATAAAATTGTCAACGGCCAAAGCAATACTGAAAGTATATAAAACTTAAGGAAGAGTAGGAAAAAAATAATGTAGAGAAAGGAAAGCAAGAAGAAAAAGTAAAATAGAGAATGGAAGAATTGATTTAATGATGGAAATAAGAAAGAAGTTGCCTAAGATTGGATTTAAGTATATATTGATAAATATATATATATTAGTTAATACTTGTGTTTTGCTACTTAATAATAGTTTAGTAAACCTGTTAAAGAAGAATAATAGTGATTATATGTATTCAGTTTTATAATGAGTACGTTGGTTTTTTTCGCCAATAATTCCCTCTCCAATTTATTATAATCTTATTTTAATGAGTAATATATAGATTGAAAATATTGAATATCCTGAAGATGACGAGTCATTTGTTGAGTCAGATGATTCTGAATTGAACCCATTTTAGTTTGAGTTAGATTAATAGAAATCAAAGGATGAGAGAGTAGAAATAATGTATCGGGCTTTGTTAAAGAATAGAGATAATATTCTTGAAGTGATTTCAGATGCAAATCATAACTTAAAAAAGTTAAGGAAATATGCATCTGTATTATAGAAGGAACATTAGATCTTTAATATATTAAAAAAAGCATATGAAGATTTAAAGCATAAAACAATTAATCATGACTAACTTTTGATTAGTTTAGAAAAAGGTTATGAAAAATAAATTTAAGAAGTATATTAAAGATTCTATTCAATTAGCTGTCAAATGAATTACAATAATTAAATCAATAAATTATTCAATAAGCTCAAGAATTCGAAAAGTAGGCTTGTTTGTATAAAGAACAATTAACATAAAAATAAGAGTAATTAACACTAAAAGAATAAGAGATAATATTTATAAAAAATAATGAACTTCAATTATCTGATAAATTAAAGAATTCTTAAGCAGAATTGGTTAAATTATAAAAAGAGTCCAATGCCATTAAAAAAATAAAAACATCTAATTTCTTGAATTTGAATGAAAAATCTGATTTCCCCTTTTCCACATTTGAATTAGTTATAGCAACTAAGATTAAAACATAATTAGTATCATTTTTAAGTTCAAAAGACATTGTAAATTTGTGTTTAACAAAAAAATCAATATATTTTGCTTTATGTTAATTTAAAGTAGTAATACCATAAATTATCAGATGTTCAACTATATAATATTAATCATAAATGAAGTTGTTAACCAAACAAGTTGATTTATTTAAAAGATTATCAAATGATTGTCCAGAATAAATAGTTAAGACTTAAATAATAAAATATTTTGATGCTAATTTGAATCCAAATGAATGGCTTGATCCAATTATAATAGAAGCTAATAATTTTGTAAAAGGTTCATAATTCTTAGGAAGACTAGAACATATTGAAAATGCAGATTCTACAGATGGTTTAAAAACATTTGTATAATCAATGGCTACTCGTTCTTAATAAACTTCTAATCTATTAAAATCAGATCCATTTAATTTAAGTTAATTTACAGCTAATTTAATTATTAATTCAAATGATAGAGAAGCATTTTTAAAAGAAAGATAAAATTAATTAAAGAAATTAAAAGCAAGTTAATCTGATGTTTAAGAGAAAATATTCAATTTAGGAACTGCTGTTGCTGCAGATGTAGGTCTATTTGGATTATATTTGGCAACAATGTAAAGGATATTTGCATCACTTTATGTATTTGGAAGTTATATTAATATTGAATGTAGATCTCAATCTTCTTTAATTTATTATTTAGCTGAATAACATTGGTAATTAATTTAGAAATAAACTATATTGGAATCTATGATATAAGATAGATAATAAAGAATATAAAATAATAGTAATGAGATTAAAGCTTTAAAGTATAATCATAATTATATTTTAGTGAATAAACTAAAGGTTTGTAAGATTTGATTAAAACATTATAAGCAAGTATTAAAGCTCATAAAATTGAGACTTTAAATGAATAAACTGAAAAAGCTAAGATAAAATAAGAGTTATAAGAAACAAAATAATTATTATTCAGTTATGGAAAAAACATTAAATTACTAGCACTTGAAATAAGAGAATTAAGAAAGGTAAACAAAGAAATTGTGATGTAAAATAACAAAGCTGCTTCCCAAATTTCAGATCTGAAATCTCAAGTAGCATAAATTTAAGTTTGAAATACATATTGAATTATTAAGTATAATAATCATCATATTTTTTCATTCTATTAATATTCCAATATGTTTCTACTAATAGAATTCATTGAAATGATTATTAATTTAATCAACTCAATATTTAAGTTTTTATAAATTATCTTCTAATAATTTAGAATGATATTTATCTCTTGAACCATCTAAATTTACTATTCCTCTCCAAATAAATTTACATTCCTTAAAAATAACCATATTGTCTGGCCAAATTCCAAATGTTTCATCAAATAAATTTTATGGGAATATATCTAGATAAATCTCAAAATCATCAGGAATCTGATACTACTCTTTTAATTTCTTAGCCATCTTATATCTATCTTCCTAACTTTTGTGTTATGGATATTCATATTCATAAAATCCAATAGGCCATCCATCTACAAATTTTCCTTCTTAATCTCTTTCAACAAAATGGGCTTCCTTTATATAGATAATAATGCATTTGCAAATCTCCTTATATTTCTATGCAAATGCAATATAATCAGCCATAGCCTCACGATAAGGAGGTCATGTAATGCTGCCAGCAAAAACAACAAGAAGTCTATTTTCTTTATGACAATTTAGCATTAAATCTTATAAACAAACTTTCTATTATTCTAAATTCAATAATTGAATTTCAGGTGGTTATTCATTTAAACCAATTCTACATCCATGCATTACATTATTTCTCCAAAAGAATACTTACTTCTTCAATTCAGGATCATTGATGTATTTTCTAGTCAAAGCATAATATAATTTATTATTTAATGGACAATCATCATATCCAAAATGTTTAAATATTTCTGCATGAATTAATTCCTCAACTACTCCTGAATAATTAAGTTATCCATACAAATCTTGAACATTCTTATCCAATCTTACTTACTAATCATATTAAATTTATTTATTACTTGTTCTTTAAGTATGAGTTCAAAGAATTTTTCTTTATCATTTGGAATCAATTTAATATTTTTTAACTTACTTTCTTCTTCGATTTCTTCATAAGTGGGTGGTTTATAACATGACCCATAGTTTCTTGTTTGCCCATCACCATAAATATTAGCATCAAACAGTTCCAAACAATCCTAAATTATTTAAATCTAAATACTTCTCCTATTGATTAAGATTGCATCTAATTTAATATTATTTCTATTATGATAAAATAACTTACTATAAGTATAAAAATATTAACTATATTTAAACAGAAATTAAAAATCATCATCAATTCTACTTATGATTATTAGATCTAAATCAAGTATATGATATATTAAGTTTTAAAGTATTATAAGTAAAATGATATATAAACATTTAAATTAAATAAATACTTTAACTTAATGATAGAGAATGAGTGAAATAGATAATGAATCAATCTTTGATATCTATATAAAATATCTGTTATTAATAATAAATTATACAAGATGAAAGGTTTATATGGTTTATGATCAGATTTAAATAGAATGTATTGAATTGATATATCATATTATTATAATTTAATCAATTTATCATTTGGGTTATAAGTATTTTTCAACTTCTTTTCTGTCTTTCAGAATCTGTTATTCAGTTTGATTTACAATTTCTATTGCATTTTATATTTATTTTCTTTGTTAAATCCTAATTTGAAATTGATTAAATACTATTCTTCATATTATTATCCTAATTGTAATACTTTATCTAGAGAATCTTGATTATTCATTGATTTATGTGATAATTTTAATATTAATAATATCGTAAAAATAATGATTAATTGGGCAGCAAATGATATGTGTCAAAATAATCATTAATTACAATGGGTGAAGAAGCATATTTAGAAATGTGCTCAATGTGGTCCAGTTGACACTATGAGTAGATATGGATGTGTTTAATGCAATATATATTATTGTGTAAAATGCAGATAGCCTCCTGTAATGGGAGATTTTTGTGGAGGAGGACATGAGTATATTTTATCAATAATAGATTGAAATATGTTCCTAATTTGAAATATCATTCTTGCGATGTTTGTAGAGGTTCAATTTCTGGAGGTGCATATAGATGTTAAGAATGTGATTATGATGTATGTGAAAAATGTTGGATAGTAAAAGAAGATTGATTAGTATATATATATAATTTATTCACTTAACCCCAAACTTGAGAAATGATTTAAACTTATAAGTTTTCATTCGAGTTATTCTAGTATTTTCTAATTTGTATTTATTCCCTTTTAAACAGTTAAGGATATTACTCAAATTCTCTTTCTTTCTATAACATATCAACTCTTCATTTTTATCAATCCCTTCAATTTCCTCCTTTTTAAATGTTAAAAATTCTTTATGAATCTATTCCAATTATTTCTCATCTTCATTTTAAGCATATTCTGATTAATTATATTCACTTGACAAAAATATCTTTTTATACACTTTTGGAGGTTTCAATAAATCCATTTATTATTTTCCACTCTCAATCTAAGAACTATGACTAGGATTTACTTATCCTTATTTCTTATCTTTATAACCACATCTAGTTAAGAAATCTTCATTCACTTCTTCTTGAATAATTCCATAATCAAATGCTGCCTCTAAAGCATACTCAATAGTCTCTTAAATCCTTGTAATAGCCTTAGATTTTAATTGTTTTTTTCTTGAATGTGGAAACCTATCAAGAATTACATTTGAACTTTTATCCTATGCTATTTTTGATTAAGGAGGTTTATAAAATACAATAGGACAATTCATCAATTGATGAGTACGTCTACATATTAAACATTAAATTGGTATTAGATTAAATATTATTTCATCTCTTAAACTGCAATATTATTCATAACTACTTTGATCAGATTTTAAGACATCAAAAAATTCTTACTAACTTATATATGCTACCTCAGTAAATTAAGTTGCTTTAGCATTATAATGAGCTTATTCAGATGCAATAAATTCTTTTGATCCTAATGATCCTTTGTATTAGGTTGCAATTGATACTTTGTTGATATTGAATTCAACAACACCTTTAACAATGAAGCATGCATTATTGATTAACTCTCCCTATGAGATTATCATTGAACCTGGTATAAAAGTTTGAGATTTCACTACTTTGCTTAATTATTTTAATGTTTAATCAGAAAACCTGGAAAAAATTGAACATGTTTTCATCACCTAAACATAAATATTTGATTTCAATTCTATCTTTAAATCATCATTCAATTTATCTAGTAGTTATTCTGGACTATCATCTACATCAATAAAATAGTCTAAATATTTTCTTACTTTCATTTAAAGTAAAGGATTCAATTTATGCTTTTTCATATATGAATTTACTTTTGCCATATTATTCCTATGCAAATCTGTTTTCTCTCTTAATTATCCAAATATTGTTTAGATTGAGGAAATCGTGTATCCAAAAATCAAAGATGTAACAAGTACCATAAATATCAGAAATGCTTACTCGTATGTTGTCTAAGGTACTATATCCCCATAGCCTACAGTAAAGGCTGTAACAGTAGCAAGATATAGAGAAGCCACATACCTAGTTGCCCAATCAGAATTATCTAAGTTATACTTAATTAACCAACAATTATTTATATCTTATGTAATTTCATACTACCCTATATAATGCCAAGCACAACCAAAAATATGGGATACAAAAACCATAAAAAACATGAGTTTTATTATATCTAAAGGAGCAGCAAATTTCTCTCTAATTAAGGTGATTTCTTCAATTTATTCAACCATTTTAGTCACTCTTGTAACTCTTAATAAGAGGACAAAATTTATATATGGGATATTATATTAGGATATTAGAAAGGGTATGACTACTATTATATCTTTGATGAAATCTCCCTTAAAATAATGCTTAAATATCATTTTTCTACTTTCATGTATCATCCCTTCAGAATAGTAAGCTGTGTTAAAATTTAGTAAAATTTCCAATAAAAATATGTAACTAGGTAAAGTACTGAAAAAAAAATCTACTTCTTTGTTATAATCAATTTTGAATGATAATTCCATAGGAATATAAAATATGTTGATAATTACAAAAACTAAAATGCAGCAATCTAATAGTAACTTAACTTTACTGTCTGGTTAAATAACTCCAATTTAAATTTGTGGCATGATAGAATTGAAGTATTTAATTAATGATTGAGATAATGAAATTTTTGAAAAGACTAAGTTTTTATCTGAATAATAATCATAATTAGAGGATTAGTCTCCAATAATTTCATGTATTCGATATGTAACTGTTTTAAATCGATAGCGTTCAGCAGCTGTTTTTAGTTTTAAAATAAATTTAGTGATGGCACAAAATATTTTTAAAGAATGTTATCTCCAGAGTTAATCAAACCCCATATTGATTGAGACATCAGGTGTTGGTTCTGAAATATAAGGATGTTTATATGGTGAATTCATTACAAATCTTTTAGTTGAGGAGGACCTATTTGTATTCATAATTAATTAAGAAATAGTTATCTCTTTTAATAAGATAAATTTTGGTTTTATAATTATATTGAAATAAAGACATCATCATTATTTAATTTTTGGTAATTGAGTTTAACTTTGACTTAATGTCATGCTTTATTATTATTAACTGGATTCTTTTTCATTTTAACTTCTATCTTTATCTAATTTTTCCCTATTAGATCTTAATTTTTCTTACATATTTTTATAACCAATTCCAAACTAATATTTAATATTTAATCTATACTTTGCCCATTCTTTCAGGTGATGTTTCTTTTGGAGGAAATACAGCCCAATTTTTGAAATCTCCTAATTATCCTTTATATTTATCTAAATCTTTGTCACATGATGCACAACTCCAAGATAAAGGTTTTTTAACAAATAATGAATCCTAATCTTTTGATCCATCACCTTCAAGTATCATAAATATTTAATTAATCTATATAATAATAATAATAAAATACTTTTTATTCTAGATATATCAATGCCTTTTTGGTTTCTTATTTATTAGCTAATGTTTTAATTAATTCAGTAACAACCTTTTATAATTAATCTAAAAATGCTTAATTCAAATCTTTAACTTCTTAAGCATCAGCTTTTCTATCTATACTTAATTTAGTTTCATCTCCAATTCTTTAAATTTCATCTCTTACTTATTTAATTTTAGGATCAAAAGTTTAAAATAATTCATCTTTAGTTACAATTGATTCAATTTTCTTTGCAAAATTATTTATCTTAATTTTATTTTAATCTTAATCACGTTTAATTAAATCCATCTATTCTCTTTAATTTTATAATTCAATATAAATTTTATCAGTTTATATTCCTTAAATCTTTTTCTCTAATTCAGTTAATTTAACATGAGTTACTTGATTATTTTAATTCATTTATGTTTTATGTATTAATAAATCACTAATATATAAAATATTATTTACCTTTCAATTTCTTTTAATTATTATTATAATTCTTTAATTTAATTATTTAACTCTTTATCTGCATTTGATTGTTTCAATGGTGTTTCAATATTAGGTTAAGATTTTCTCTATTATGATTTTCCTATTTGTTCTCTTAATTACATTATTTCTTTCTCTAATTTTGCAATATCTGCTTATTCTGCCTTTTTATCTATTTTACTTTTGAATTCCCTTCTTGCTTTTTCTAATTCTTCATCAGCACGATCTTAAACAACTTTAATTTTCATTTCTTTTTTAGTATTTTCATTTTAAAAGTCTGTTATTGTACAATAATTTTATAATTAATCTCTTAATTTATTAATTTCTCCTAATATTAAAGCAACTTAATTCTCTTACATATTTTCACCTTATCCAAAAGATGCTAAATTTAATTATGTTTATAAAGCCTCAATTTATGATTATAATTTCTTAATATCATTTTTAATTTAATTTATTTCCTCATTTGAAACATCAGATTATTAATTATTATTTTAATCTTTTAATTTTTATCTTACACTATCAACAATTTCAAATAAAGATTAGATCTCATCTTCATGACCATCTAATTTTTTATTAATATCTGATAAATCTACTGGTTGATTTTCTTCTGGAACTTTGACATTATTTAATCCTTACTTTAAATTAGCTAATTCTTATGACAATTATTCTTATTATTATTCTAATTTTAATGTAAATATTTACTTAATTCAAGAGTTATTTAATTTAATTTTTTTATTTCATCATCATTACCTGCATATTAAATAGGAAGAGCAATTGGTTGAATAGGAGCAGCTTCTTTGATTATTTCTTTTTCTATTATAATTTATTCTGGTTTTCTTTCTTCTACTTCATGTAATTCATTTTAGAAACCATTCATCTATTTTTTTATATTATCAATTTCTTGATTTAGTTAGTTTAACAATTCAGATTATTATGTTTGATTATTATTTAAGTCTTCTATTTTCTTAGTTTAAGATGTCTATTCAACTTCTAAATCTTATAATGCTTGTTCTTATTATTTTACAATTCTATCTAAATGGAATTTATATATAATATTTACTAAATTTCTAATTTGTTTAATCCAATTCTTCCTTTGTTACATAATCCTTTTAAGACACTTCTTATATTTCCTATAATTTTTAAGTAATTTAATCAATTGTTTCTTTATTTTACTATTTAGTTTCTGGTGTTTCACTAACTTCTTTTAATTTCTTATTATAAATTCATTTTATACTTAGACCCAATCAGAATTATCTTACACTTTAGAATTTAACAATACCATTCCCTTATGTAATTGTTTTAATATAGATATTAAAACTGCAAAATTCTTTTGTAATAATTCTTCTGAGAATTAAATACTCATCATTTTATCCATACTTAAATTAGCTAATTCTTAATCAAAAGATTAGAAATTGGGATCGAATATTACATTTATTAGTTATTCTTCCATTTTAAGATATTAAATTAATAAAATATATATATTAACAATATTGATTTTATTATTTTTAAAATACTATATTAACCATATTAAAATAATAGTGTTCAAGAAATTCTTATAAATCTATACTAATTTATTATCTCTTAATTAATGATTGAGAAACATCATTAAATCAATAATATGGATAAATCAAATTTCCAAAAAATCTGATAGTGATAATTAAATATTACTAATTATATGAGAGAGAATTTTAAAACAGAAATTAGTGAAACCTTTACTAAAAGATAAGAG